CAACTTTAATGCTAGTGTGATAACTGTTGTTGTATGAGAACTTGATGAGTGGTAAATGGGTATCCCAAGATTTACCGAATTCTATCACACAAGCTCTCAACATGTATTCCAGTGTTTGAATAGTTCTCTCGCTTTGCCCGTCGGTTTGTGGGTGATAGGCTGTAATCATGTCGAGTCTGGTCCCTAAGGACTTTGTAGTGATTGCGAAAACCGTGAGGTAAACCTGCTATCTCTGTCAGAGATAATGGATATTGGCACACCATGTAATCGTACAATCTCCCTGATTTACATCCTTTTTATTTTCTCCATTTTTTCTGTCTCCTTTATTCGTAGAAAGTGTGTGGATTTGGTTAACCTATCAACAATTACCCATATGGTGTCATGCCCACCAGTTATCTTGGGCAATTTAGTTATGAAGTCCATGGTTATCCGATCCCACTTCTACTCGGGTATATCCGGTTGTTGTAGCAAACCCGAGGGCTTTTGGTTCTCTACTTTGACCTTGGCGCAAGTCAAATACTTGCCCATATAGGTAGCGATTTTTGCTTTCATGTTTGGCCACCAATATAGTTTCTTAAGGTCTAGATACATCTTTTCTAACCCGGGATGAACAGAGTACTTGGTCTTGTGAGCTTCGTTCATGATAATATCTCTGTACCTGCCAAATCTTGATGTCCAAATTCGATTCATGAGATAACGGGCTCCATCACTCTTGACCTCAAGGTTTTTATCCATTCCTCGCAAGGCTTCACTTTCTACATTCGCAGGTTTTAAAGCTTCAAGTTGTGCCTCCGTGATCCGAGTGGATAGATGCGAATGGATAGTCATTGTTAATGATTTTACTCGGTGGCCCGAGTACTCCTTTCGACTTAGGGCATTTGCTGCCATGTTGGCCTTGCCTGGATGATAGCAAATTTCGCATTCGTAATCATTTAGTAACACTACCCATTGTCGTTGCCTCATATTGAGCTCTTTTTGATTGAGGATGTGCTGGAGACTCTTATGGTCAGTGAAGATCGTACACTTTGTACCATAAAGGTAGTGTCTCTAGATCTTTAAGGCAAACACTACTGCCCCTAATTCAAGGTCGTGTGTGGTGTAGTTGACCTAATGAGTCTTAAGTTGTCTTGAAGCAAAGGCAATGACTTTTCCCCATTACATGAGTACACAACTTAGACCTTGCTTGGATGCATCACAGTAGACCACAAAGTCTTCTGTTCCTTCTGGAAGAGATAGGATCAGAGCATTGCATAAAGCTTGCTTTAGCATCTAGAAGGCAGTTTCTTGTTTATTTCCCCAGTTGAATGTCACTCCTTTCTGGGCCAGGGTAGTAAGTGGATTTGTGATGTTGGAAAAGTTATGTATGAACTTTCGGATTTCTATCGGTGTCCTCAGTGCTTCCTAGTTTTCAATTGCTTTTATTTTGGAGGGACCACGTGTATCCTCTCTTCGGTGACCACATGCCCCAAAAAGTCCACCTTTCGAATCCCAAATTCACATTTCGAAAACTTTGCATACATATTTTCCGCCGTTAGTGTCTCCAAGACTTGTCGCAAATGTTGAATATGCACTTCCTTACTTCGTGAATAGATTAGTATGTCATTGATTAACATTATCACGAATTTATCTAGGTAAGGTTGGCATATGCAGTTCATCAGATCCATGAACACCGCGGGTACATTAGTCAATCCGAAGGGCATCACAATGAACTCGTAATAGTTGTAACGAGTCCTAAACACAATCTTAGGAATATCTTCCTCCTGGATTTTGAGTTGATGGTATCATGACCTTATATCGATTTTCAAAAAGTAGCTCGATCCCTGGAGTTGGTCGAACAAGTCATCAATTTGGGGTAGGGGATATTGCTTCTTGATGGTGAGTTTGTTCAACTCTTGATGGTCAATGCACATACATAATGATCCATCTTTATTCTTTACAAACAAGACTAGTGCTTCCCATGGTGAGAAGCTTGGTTTGATGAATCCTTTATTTAGTATCTCATTCAGCTGACTGGACAATTCCTGCATTTCTACCAGGGCCAATCGATATGGTGATTTGGCTATGGGGGTGGCTCCAGAAATCAAGTCGATTCTGAACTTGACTTCTCGCACGGGTAAGGGTGAGCTAACCCAAACCACGAAACTGAGAAATCGATTAAAACCAACGAAACCGAAACCAAAGCAAAACCGACAGTTAGGGTTTGAATTTTTAAAAAAACCAAAGAATCGGATTCGGTTTCGGTTTTTACCCAGAAACCGACCCATCCAACCCGAGAAACCGATCCATACTTGATTGTGTTTTGGTTGTAATAGACTATTTTGGGCGTTGGTTGTAACTTGTAATGGACTATTTGTTGTAAGGCACGTGTTTTTTGAAGTATTTAACTTAAATTTGGTGTTTTTTTGGAAGTATTTAACTTGTTGTTTCATTTATGGAAAATGGGTTAAAACCCAAAACCCATGGGTTTAAACCCAGAACCCATGACTATATAGGTTGAACCCAAGAAACCGAAAAACCGCCCAAACCAACCTCAAAACCCGAGAAACCGAACTGACCCGAAACCGATCCTATTGGGTTCTAAAAACCAGAAACCAACCATTTATGGTTTGGGTTGGGTTTGGGTCCAAAACTGACCCATGCACAGTCATACGCATGGGTGGTACTCCCGGAAGGTCCTTTGGGAATACGTCGGGAAAGTTGTAGGCTTCTGGAATATCCTTGATGTTCTTCACTTCACTCTTCTCATAAAAAACGTAGGCTAGGAATGCATGGTACTACTTGTGCAGGTACTTTTGAGCCTTGATGCAGGAGATGATTTAGAGGTTTGTGTCGGGTTTCTCACCATAGATGACTAGGGTTTTGTTATTTGGTAAGTTAAGTCGGATGACCCTTTCGTAACACATGATATCGGAATGGTGAGGGCTTAACCAATCCATGCCAATGATCACATCAAAGCTTCCCATTGTAACAAGCATTAGGGTTAGGGTGCATCCTATATATATATATATATATATATATATATATATATATATATATATATATATATATATATATATATATATATATATATATATATATATATATATATATATATATGTCTTTGGTGCTTCTAGTTTTTCCATTTTCCATTTCTACCATGAATATTTCAGTGAGTGATTGAGGTTTTTGTTTGAGTATGTGTTTTAACTTGTGGATCACGAAACTCCTCTCCGCACCACTATCGAAAAATAGGCATGCATATGAGTTATTAAGGAGAAACGTACCGGTAACCACAGCGGGGTCCTTCATCGCTTCCTTGTGCCCCATTGTCAAGACCCTTATCACGACTCTGACATTTTTGTTCTTCTCCTTTGGGCACTCCCATTTGAAATGCCCCATCTCCCACATCTGTAACACGCCTGAATCACCCCAGCATTGGTGTCTTGGGTGGTCTGTTTAGCTGGCTCCTTGCAGAAACGAGCGATATGCCCCTTCCTGTTACAGTGGTGGCAATACATCTCCCGACAAGATCTATTGTGATGGAAGTTGCACTTGTTGCATTTAGGTAGATTCCCAACACACTGCCACTGTTTGTTGTCTTTTGACAGACTCTTGAGCGGGTTGACCCTTCTTATTTTTCCAGAACTTTCGCTTGTTATCTCCTCTTTTTGGTTGATCGGGTGTGGGCGCCATAATGCCCTGGTAGACTTGATGGTCGACAAGACTTTGTGCCAAACGTTTGGCACTGTCGTAGGTGGTTAGGTAGCAGATATAACCATTCCTTGAATCTGGGGGATAGTCCCCAGATGTAGCACTCTACCTTCTTGGCTTCCGAGGTGATCATCTCGAGGCACATAGTTGCCAAGTCGTTAAACTTGGTAGTATTGGCGGTCACATCCGAGCCCGTCATGGTATGGTTCCAAAGCTCTTGCTCTAATTTCTGGATTTCGCTTCTTGGGCAACACTCCTCCAGCATCATGACCTTTAGATCTTCCCACCTCATAGAGTTGGCCACAACGAGAGTCAGGGTTTTAACATGACCATTCCACCAGGATAAGGTTGAGTCATTGAAAGTACAAGCTGAATACTTGACCTTACATTCATTTAGGCATGAACAGACCTCAAACACATATTCAGTTTTCTCAAACCATCTCGTTAAGGTGATGACATCGTTGGCGCCGTAAAAAGCCTTGGGCTTGCAGTTCATAAAATCCTTGTAGGAGCATACTCATTGGTGTCCTTGGATTTCGCCCTGATTGGAACTGTTGGCGCTGTTCATGTTTTTGTTCCCATTTCCGTTTCCGTTCTCGTTCCTGTTTCCATTTCATTTTGTGCCATTAGCACTAATTTGTGCCATGGCGATTGCCACCGTGGCTGCCATAGCGGCTTGGAATATAGCGGGGTCCACATGTGTAGTTGGTGGTGGTGGAACTGGTGGTGTTCCATCGGCACGTCGGTTACTTCTACGTGGTGGCATTCTTCTTCCATATGGATTAGAGATGGAATGATGGAAAGTCCTCGTTAATAGTTATAAATCGGTTATTTATTGAAATAGAATGTCTCATCTATATGTTTGTTATGACTTGCCTTTACTGCAACTTGTAAACATTTCAATAAAATAAAGATATATACATATATAATATATATATATATATATATATATATATATATATATATATAATTACTATAATAAGTGAACAACTGCATCACAATTTATGAACTTAATAGTAATACCCAATGTAAAATGCAAGCCATTTCATTTATAATGTTTCATAGTGGTACACAGTTTTGGAAAATTAACCTTCATGGAGGTCTGTAATACACCTGAACCCAAAATAAAATTGGTAGCATAATGACCCTTAGAATAGTGTAATCACTTATTTGCAGGGTCGGGCCTACATACATGAGGGAGTAGCACCAACGCTTACTCACAAAACCTAGTCTACAACAAAAGTTGAGTAGCATGAACACTACTCGTGGCGAGTGACATTGTGTGACCCTCGAAGTGTGGCTGTAAATGCTCACATCTCCCTTGCTTTCTCTCTGGCCTCATCGGCTCGACGCTCTGCCTCAATCACCCTCTGATCCATGAAGGCATGCCTGTGCATGAGCTCTCTAACCTCAGCTCGGGCAGTTGTGACATCCTCCTGAAGACAATTGATGATCCTGCATGTCCGATCATGATCTTCATCTAGACGACGAAACCGGGTGGCGGTGACTTGAGCAGTGGCACCAACATCTAGGGTATGGTTGCTGGACGACCTAGCAGGATAATTATTTTTCGCATGTCTAGTATGTGTCTCGAAGTAATCTCTTAACTTAGTAGAAGCAGTTACTATTGCAAGAATTAATTTTTCAAGATGAGAATACTTGGTCTCAGGATCCAGAAGACTTTTACTTACATAATAGATGGGATGTTGGTCTCCGTTAATATCCTTGGCTAGGACAACACTTATCTCACTTGAGGATACCGAGGGGTAGAGGAGAAGTGGTTTTCCATCTACAGGCTTCACCAGCAGTGGCACGGAACTTATGTATCTTTTGAGTTCCTAAAAAGCTTCTTCGTGTTCTTTGGTCCATTCAAACTTCTTGTTCTTTTTCAAGATATCATAGAAGGGCTTACACCTTTCTGAGGATCTTGAAATGAACATGTTGAATGTCGCTACTCTTTCAGTTAGCCTTTGGATGTCTTTTGTTGAAGATGGAGATTTCATCTCAATTATTGCTTTGATTTGCTCCGGGATTGCTTCTATTCCTCTCTTGGTTACCATATGCCCAAGGAACTTGCCCGACTTCATCCCAAAGTGGCATTTAAACAGATTCAACTTCATGTTGTATTTGTTTAGGATGTTGAAGGCTTCTTTGAGATCCCTGAGATGATCTTCAACTTTCATGGACTTCACCATCATGTCGTCAATGTAGACCTCCATGGTGTCCCCCAACCGGTTCACAAGTCTTGGATATGTTGCACCTATATTTTTAAGACCAAAAGACATTGCAGTGTAACAATATATACCTGTTGGTGTTATAAATGTTGTCTCTTCTTGATTGGATGGTTCTATCTGGATTTGTTGGAATCTTGCCGAAGCATCCATGAAGTTTAAGAGTTTGTGGCCTGTCGTTGCATCTATCATGGAGTCAATGTGTGGTAGAGGGAAAGGATCCTTAGGATAAGCCTTGTTAAGATCCGTGTAGTCTACACATACTCACCACTTGCCGTTCTTCTTTTGTACGACAACTATATTAGCTAGCCATATCTGATTCCTTTCAGGTGCAAACTTCCTTCTCTTTTGATGTGTCGGTCTGAAATAAGGATCAATATTAAGTTTGTGAGTGATAATACTCTTGTATATACTTGTCATATCTTCGTATTTCCATGCGAACGTCTTGCTACTGGTTCGAAGGAAATTTAATAGGTCTTGCTGAATTTGCTCAGGTATTGAGGATCCTATAAGGACTTTGGCTTCAGGATACTCGCTGCTTAGGGTCACTTCCTTCACATCTTGCTCCCTTGTTTCTAGAACATGCCGTGCCCCTGCCTTAATTGCTATGCTTGCTGGGGTTTCAACGCATGCTTCATAGAGATTTTATAAAATTCCTTTGAGTCTTGTTGATCTCCCATGATCTTCACTATTCCCCATGGAGTAGGCATCTTTACACATTAATGATATGTTGATGGAACCGCTTTCATCTCGTGGATCCACGGTCTACCTAATATCACATTATATGAAGATAAGGTGTCAATAACTCAAAATTTTTGTATAGAGTGTACCCCCTCTATGTATATTGGTAGCTTTATCTCCCCAATGGTGTGTTTCGTTTCTCCGCTAAATTATATGAGGGCCGAGGACTTTTTGATTATTTCCGATTCCGGGATGTTCCTTCTCTTCAGTGCGTCCAAGAGTATGATCTTAACCGAGGATACTCCGTCAACAAGGATCCTTCTGAGGAAGTGGTTGACAATGTACAATGTTATCACGAGTCCATCATGGTGAGGATCCTGGACCCCTTCCTTATTCGTCTCGTCAAACATTATTTCCTTTTCATTGCTAACCGAGGTATTCTTCCCTGGTATATCCTCCTTTTCTGTTATTGAGACCTTGGCGTGTCTTTTAGACTAAGAATAATAAGTACCACAAATGTTAGATCCGCCTGAGATAACATTAATTATCTTGATGGAAATCGTGGTTTCTTTGGGATCTTGTGACCATCCTAATTGTTCTCCGTGGACTTTTCTTTCTTTCATCCGAGGATTTCTTTAAGATGACCTTTGCTAAGGAGATAACATATCTCCTTCCTTTGGGCTATGCAATCCTCCGTCATGTGATCAAAATCTTCATGGTAACCATGATGGGTTTTATACAAACAATCCTATGTGTGCATGGAACCCTAGAATTGGATCTATGTTTTACTATTAGTTACACAACATTATGAACACATAACAAAACCCTAATGAGTCATACTATTTTCAAAATTCACCAAGAAGATTAGAATACATACCTTTTGTTATTATATAGTAATAACAACTCAAATCCTCCTTGTAATGGCTTTAGAAAGCTTAGAGTCACAAGTGTCACTCCTCTAATGGCTCACAAACACACTAGGTGAAAGGATGAATATGGGAGAGAGGAGAGAAGGGTATCTTGCCCTAGATTTCGTCCCTTTCAGGGTTTCTCAAGGGTTGGACGAAATCTTAGTGCCTTAGGGTGCTATTTATACTTAAGGCTAACTAGGGTTTCAAGGTGTAAACCCTAATCCCTTAGCTTAGGGCCTAAGCAAGTCCATGGAATCCTTTCCTTAAGGCCTTGGACAAAAACTCCTAGATCCTTCGAGGATTTTCGTTCAAGCCTTAATAAAGATGATCCAATGGCCCAAAGCCTCAACTATTGAATAATTACAAAATAGCCCCTGCACTTTCAATCAGTTCCTTTAATCCCAAAAATTAATTCTAAATTAATTTCTGGTTAAATAATAATTAATAATATGATTCCAAATTAATATATTATTCATATAATATATTAAAAAAAATCATATTTATACCCTAATTTATTATTCTTAACAATAAACCAACCTCTCTCCTCAACAATCATCTTGTCTAGTCACCAGTGTGAAGGCAACCCAAAAGGATCATGCACAATCGGTTCAAGTACATACCAAAATAGTTATGAACTTAGACACTAATCCAACAGTCTCCCACTTGGATAAGTCTAATAACTATTATGCATATGACTTCAGATCCTGATCCGCAATCATAGCTTTCAAAAGCCGCTGTCAACTCTGATCTTATCAGATACACGTCCTTTAGATAAGAGATCATATATTCCTCCATTCTAGATATCGTATAGACTGAGACATGGATTTAAATCATTCTATCTCTCTATGTGTTGTTTCCCAATTTCCGATTTACGACTGACAACAGACTACAATTGAACACATCAAATTAGTCTCAGCTTGGCCAAGCGCTTAGGTGTCATCACTAAATCATCGAGGGGCCCACAGATATCGTTTTCATCCCACTTTCGATAAAAGGAATGGATAAACTTTGATTTAATGCTTGCTTGCACTCAGTCACCGAATCACACACAACAATATGTTTTATGACACCAAGTTACTGGTGCGTTTACATATTATCAATGTGTAACCGACTCGCAAGATACAACTCACACATCTCAGTTTCAAGAATATAAGATATTATCGTCTCACCAATCACTCGTGATAAGATCCATGAAGTGATCCAAGTGAGCGTGGGTTTAATCCAATGCTCAAAGTCATATTCATAAGCACTCATGAACGTTTCAACAAACCTTTGCTATGTTTAATACACTTTAGACAATCCACAAACCAATTCACGACAGTCTTCATTCATACCTACTTCCAACATATGAACGACTGTGGTCCGTTTGAATAATTTGATTATTCTGAAATAATTAATTATTCAGAAGTCAAAACATGCAAAATGAAACACAAGAATAATTCTAATCCCATACGGCCCCAAACTCTGGGTATAAATAAAACATTTTATTTAATCACCATATTGATTACTCATTATTTGTTGTTTCGGGTAATCAACTTCTTTCTTGAATTATTACTACACTTGTCCCATGCTCTTAGCATGCACACAATGTTTACCTATGGTCCTTACTTTGTGAAATAGATTAAATGAACACATTTCCAATCATACTCATTTCACAACTCCCAATCCTTATCACAAGTGTAAGAATATGAAATTCTTGTTACTTATGCTAGATTCTAACATTTTATGCAATGATTCTTTCATAAAGTCATAGCTCAAAATCATCAAGACTTGGCCAATCTCTATAAGAAACAATTCTATAGATATGATGTCTCAAAGTACATTCCTTTTAACATCCTTTCTTGCATAAAAGTTTCTAATCTAGATATAGATTCTCAATATCCAACTCCCAATATGGAAACATTTTCATATTTTCCATATGACAACTCATTCTTAATAGAATCTTATCTATTCATAATAATGTCAATATAGTCCATCCAATACCATACTTCCAACTACTCATAAGCGACCAATCCTCAGCGAGCTTTGGATCGTCCTTTGATAGTTGTTTAGTTATCTTAGTCAAAACCGACTCTTGTCCTTTTTCCTCTAAATGCGCGAGACATTTGGAAAATTTTAGAATGGTCAAATATTATAGCACTTGCAAATGATCTATACCCGAAGCGTATGGGACACGACACATAATGTCTTACATAAAAATACGATACTTTATCAATCTTCTGCCATAATATTTATTGTGTCACGTTCTCACATTAATTATAGCAAAACAACTTTTCAACCCTTGCGACTTTGCAAAGTATAACTCTTGTTTTCTATAATTAATATTGCTAACTTGCAATACTTTCCATACTAATCATACAAGCACAACTTTTATGCTCCCACTATCATGATGATTATTATCATATAAGCATAACACTTATGCTCCCATTAGCTTTGACATGTATTAAGAAAACAGCTTAACTTCCAGAAAACAATACCTATTGAATTTCTTAAGTTCATATTTCTAATACCTGATGCTTTGATAATCCTTTATCTAAGCTTCTCAAACTTATACACCTTTTCCTTAGATAGCTCATATGTGTGTCGAAACAATTCAGACTTATTGCCAAATCTTACAATTCGAATCATGGAAAGGGATACCCTAACCATAATTGAATTTAAGAATGCAATTTTCACAATCACTATCTTCTTAAAATCTCTCTTAGTCAAAGCATTTCCTCACAGTCATTTTCATGAAGGAGGGAATCTTATGACACTTAGAATTTAATGGTGTATGTGTTCCTATCCATGCGAATTTGTCAAAACCAAAGTTTGCGACAAATCCAAACTCATGTGGACCGAACTCTTAATCTTGATTTCTTGCCTTATGGTAACATGAGTGCCCACCATGTCTTCCAAGAAGTTAAGCAGCTCACCCTTTCCTATCAATGTAATTTTCATTGATCAATGTCCTTGCCTTTTATGCATTCTGATGAGAACTCATAGAACTCACATGCATAATTGACTTAATTGGAATGGCACATAAACAAAATAACGTCAACACGATAGGTTATAAACCTCAAGTCGTGTGCTAGTGATGATCGATAAGGTTTATTCTTGATTTGTTCTTGAAACCTTTTCAAGACCATTAAGACTCCTACTGGCTCCTTGACATATAAGATTCTATTGTCAATAAACATTTCTCGACAAACAAATATTCAGGAGTTAGTGTAGCTTTTATCAAGACAAAACACTTCACAAAATTGGTCCTAGTTGGTCTTTGTCTTATCTAAGACATCACAACTTTCCATATTTGGTGAATGTTATAAACCTTCTTAAGACTTGTCACTCAATGTCACAATCTTATTAAGACTTGTTTTGGAACAAAGTATGATTGACTTTGTGATTTAACCATTTCTTCAATTCTTAATTCCTCTTCTCAGACATACAATTGTACTTAGACTTACTTAGAGAATCAATTGAGATATGGTTCTTAATCATTGAGATCTATCATAAAACATAATAAAAGGTACTCTCCCTTCTTCTTAGAATAGAGAAACTTTTATCTTTCTGCCTACTTGATTCTTCTTATTCGTTCTGCTATTGATTTAAACTCTTTTAATCAATTCAGTATCACACTTAATCTTATGAGTATAATCATATTTACTAAACCTTTAGTAAATCATGACGAATATCTTTGTTACTCTTGTGGCGGACTTGATCAACACACAACTTTGTGTACTCGATCTCCTAGTCCTTCACTTGACACTTTGTTTAAAAATTAGTCTAATTTCCAAATATGAAATTTCTCATTCATTATGCAACCAAGTTGCATGATTCCAAGTTTCTGTCCAATTGAAACTTGGGTGATGAGAAACTCTTCCTATTTGGTAAATTCTCGATATTTCCGCATAATTAAGAATCAAATCCATTATTGCTAATAATAGAAACATTCAAAAAACATCAATTTTTCATACATGCCATCGCAAGGATAAATAAATAATATAAAATCAAAGTTTTATTTTATTTCGGAAAAATTTGTCCTTACAATGCAATTCATTGAATAACTATGCTAATACGTATTTCTTTGCACTCTTATTCTAACTCTAAGTAGTAGCTCAAGAATCTAATCTTCAAGTAATGCGATCGAAATCCATTTCTTCACGATTAGGTTCCGCTCACTTCTTTCCTTAAGCTTCCTCTCTTTTCTTTGATTCTACAAAACATCAAATGTAATTTTATCACAACATGTATTTAGAATCTAGAATAGGAACTTAAAAGAGTTAGTTAATGGATTTTACCTAAATTAGAGCCATACGTTTTGACTCTCCCATCTCTTAGATCTCTTAGGTAAATAGGGCAGCTTCGTCTCCAATGCCCCTTCTCTTGGCAATAAAAGCAAATGGATTCCTTTGGAATGAAATATGGAACTATCTCAGAATCTACCTTTTATGGATCTACAATATCACCATTTTCAATATCCATTGAAGTTTGGGAGTTTGATTTACCAGACAAATTTG